AAAGAAAGAAAGAAAGAAAGAAAGAAAGAAAGAAAGAAAGAAAGAAAAAAAGAAAGAAAGAACCTCACTTTTCTAACTTATTGTATATGTATAAGTCTTAATGTAACACCTAGTGGGCATTAGAAGCAGGACAGTTGTCATGATTCCTTCAAAATTCATCCTCAGTTTTTCAATATCTAAATTTAATTTCAGTATATGTATACAGCCGAGAATGGAAATTGACAGTGGAAACTTGTTGATTGGAAAGGTGAAAGTGAGGATTAATTTAACATCGCCTGAAATGTTTTAGAGAGGGCAAGAAAAGAAGGACTCCAATATTTTAATAGGTCCAAAGTAGAACCCAGTTCAGCTTACTTAATTGATTGGGAGTGTGAGATGGCTCCAGGGAAAGGGTTCAATTTACAGAACTCAAATTCTGCAAAGTGAAGATGACAGAAGTTGTCATCCAATGTGATTAGAATGGCCTCTCCTTTGAAAGTCTGAATTACAGGGATTCCCTCCAGACTATACTGGATCCTTAATTCCCAGTGAATGAAGAAGAGAAAGCACAGGAAACTTTTCTTTACCTCTGCAATTTCTATAAGAGATGTGTAATGATTGGATGAAGAGAAACAAACATACATTTATCGATACAGTATACTTAAATATTGTGCAAGGTAAATATAAACCAACAGAACATCTACATAAAATATTCCCCAGGAAAACAACTATAAAACCATAATAAACTGAACAATAGAGAATAAAAATAAAAGTAAAAAAGAATAAGAGCAATTCTGGATGCTGCTCACAGTATAATTACCTCAGCAATAATACTGTAAAGTTGTATGGAAAATCCTAGTCCTCTTGAAACAAGGTCGGGGAGGTGCCCCCTGAATCCCTCAGAGGAAAACTATTCCACAAGAAGATGGAGGTTACCTGAGAGAAACAAAGTTTGCCCCTTCCACCTCACTAATGTGGGCACACTGACCACCCACACTTGAAATAAGCTGGCTATTTGAAATGAGTAGTCTGATCTAGGGATGATAGAATCATGAGTGGCGTGCATAAGTGCACCAACGTGCCTACCGTCCCTGTTTTATTGTTTCTTCTATTTTTTTATTTTTCTTATATGTATCGATGTATTCATAACTATGTTTTTACTTATACCTATTATCTTGTAAGCAATTGACAAACCAAATAAATAAATAAATATTATCAAAGCAAGAAGTTGGCACATCCAAAAGCTGTGGAACTATTTTCTCTGCCTCCCTTTCTCCGAGAAAAGGAGGATGAAATTGGAAATAAGAGAAGCTGGAGAGCAGAATTTCCTTTCTTTTTCTCCTCCTCTCTTGTAATGCCTCTAATTCCTGTAGGTTCCTTTTTATGCACAGTATTTCAGAAATACCTTGTGTAATTATTATGGGACTTTTGGGTCTTTCCCTCTTCAATAAAAATGGGGGTATCCTTCCATAATATATCAAATTTATTTTTCTTGACAATAGATTTTTCCTCTTAGGAAAAGTGGAAGTACATGAACCCTGATTAAGACAACCAAGAAAATTAATTCTTTCCTTGATATGGAACTGAGCAACAGTGCTATTACAGAAGCCATTCAGCAGCAAGAACAGTGCTGTTGTAAGCAGCCCAGAATTGTTTTAGATGGGAGACCATATACATCTTTTAAACAAACAAACAAACAAACAGATAAAGCAACACAGCTTAGAACCATTTTTTTCTTCATAAATATGATCCAAAGTCAATAAAATAATATTTGCTTCATTGGATCAATCCATATGGGTATATAACAGCTGCTTGAAAATGCATAGCCAATTGCCATCTTGCATATGATTTAGTTTTTGCCACAAAACTGCCCAAAAAATCAATTAGTGAGCTGGGGAATCAAATCAATATGCTCTTGCATTTTCAGTCCTTTTTTCGTACATCTATCCCAGAGGGTGTCATATATATTCAGATTAACAAAAAATAAGCTCCTAAACAGAGGATTATAAACTACAATGAATATTCTTCAATCCATACTACTATCAGGTACTATTCTCTCATAAGAAGTTTAGCAAAGCAATATGAAATGCACAATACTCTTTTTAAAATTGATATGTGTGTGTGTGTATATATACCCTGTTTCTCCAACAATACGGCCTCCCCCAATAGGAAGTCCCAGCATGTTTTATAGGCATAAAATGAAATTAAGCCCCTCCCCCCAAATTAAGGCCTATATTAAGACATGCGAAATGGGGGGAATGGTGGGGGGGCTTGCCGTTAGGAAGTACTTTTGTTGCACACCCAGATATGGTGCTGCCTGCGTTGACCCCGATACTAAGTGCCTCACCAACGCCGAGGTCAACATCCAAGCTGTCGCCGCCTGCCCACCCAAAGATGAAAGGGGGGGGAATTAAGTCACCCCCGAAAAGACGGCCTAGCCATTTTTTCAGGGCTCAAAAAAAAATAAGACCCGGCCTTATTATATGAGAAACACGGTATGTATATGTATATGTATATGTATATACACACACACACACACACACACACACACACACACACACATATGTATGTATCCTGTCTTTAGTATTTTTATGATTAACTCAAGGTGGTGAATATATCCAACACACCTTCGTCATCCTATTTTCCCCACAACAACCCTATGAGGTGAGTTGGGATGAGAGAGAGTGACTGGCTCAAAGTTACCCAGCTGGCTTTCATGGCAAAGGTGGGACTAGAACTCACAGTCTCCCCCTTTCTAGCTTGGTATCTTAACCATTAGACCCAGCAGGCTCTCTGTGGTGGCTTCTTCAGCATACCTGGTTAGAGACACTTGTGCCTAAGATTATTTATTTATTTATTTCAATGATATGTCTGCCCATCTCATGAAAAGAACTATGGGAGGCAAATACAATTAAAAACATCAATATAACAAGAGAGATGAAAAACAATGCAAGAAAAACAAAAAAGTGACTGAGAATAACTCATCAGCAATAAATTAACAATAATAAATAAGATGGTTTTCCCTAGACCACCCAGAACTGGTAGAAGGGGAAACCATGATGATGAAATTGAAAGCTGCTGAAAGGTCAAGAAAAACAAGGATAATTGTACTGCTCACAAGTTCAGTCAGTGCTGTTTTGGTCCATATCTAGGCCTAAAACCCTACTGAAATGGATCCATTTCCTCCAGTGTTTTCTGAAGCTACAACACAATAATCTTCTCAACAAGCTAGGTGCAGTGGCCTAGAGGTGGAGCTCTTGCCTCACAATCAGGAGACTGTGCGTTTAATCCTAGCTAGAGGCTAATATTTGGAATAGACTCTCTTGCTTGAGCAATGGATTGGACTAGATGACCTCCAAGGTCCCTTCCAACTCTGTTATTCTATGTTCTATATTCTAACCTGGTTAGGAATCAAATGGACAGTGGAAGTTGAGGAAAAGTCAAACATCTGCCTTCTTATATTATCAGCAGGATCATCCCCTCCCTTAAAGATGCATTTTCTAGTACCAAAGGCCACCCATATATCCTTTCCTGGGAAACCTTTTTAACCTGCATGGATCTAACCAGAGAGGCTGAGCCCATGGCTCTGAAAACTCATGTACCATCACAATGATGAGCTTTGCTGAATGCTATAGTCATGATATTGGAAAAGGCTAGATGTTTTGCCATTCTTTTTTTTTTTTAAGCAAGTTTTATTAATTTCAAAAAACAAACAAATCATCATCAACCATTACATATTTGAACCTTTTTCCATTATAGATTTAACAAGTCAGATAAAACCTTATCTTATACAATACATTTCTATATTATTTCATCTATTTCTTTCTGACTTGATTATCGTCACTCTCTTTCTATGTTTCTACAAGGTTTCACCAATACTCTCAAAGACATAAACAGACACAAACATACATATAAAAAATCTTTTAGTAAAGTAACTTGGCCCCAGGTACCTCTCTTTATATGGGCTTTAATTATATTCATGCTCCTCTTACAGATCATTACTTATTTTATTTACCATTCTGTTTCTCTATATAAACTTCTCCACACATTTCACTCTTCATAATTCTATCTTATTCAATCCATCTTAATTTAAATCATTATATTTGTATCTTTTGCCCATCCTTTATTATCCCTCTATCTCATTCCTTATAATGAAAAAAAAAAAAAGAATTTCTCCTGAAATCACTAATCAGAGTATGATGCCTTTCTATCCTCTCCCTAAATTAATTAGATTAACATTTAAAATAACACCTAATACCCAATTTGATTCTGCTTGGTACATTCTATCTACTAATTTTTACTTTTAGTAACAATAAAAACAGAGTAAAAAATCAAAAATGTTTAAATACATAATATCCTCCTTAATACGTAGTTAAATAATAAATCTTATAGCATTCTCATTGCCTTTCCCTTCAATATTTTATTACATTTTAAAAATCAATCATTATTAAACATTTCAACATTTTAATTTCTTATTAACTCTTAAGCCATTCTAATTTTCTATTTCTAATACAAATGTTACAATACCATCTTGTGTACCTTGCAGAATCTTTTTTAAAAAAATTTATGCTTTACCCATTATCCCTAAAAAGGATTCCTCTTTTCCCATCTAATTTTAAAACTTTGTGGCTTTTCTCCGCCTTTCCCCTTTCTTTCTTCCCCCACCAAATCTTCCTACCCCCTCTTCTTCTAACTTCTTCTTCTTCTAACCCTTCTAACCCTTCTAACCCTTCTTCTAACCCCCCTTCTTCTAATGTCTTGCCGGCATCCCTTCTCTGTTGTATTCCCTTTTTCTCTTGTTTGCTATCATTGTATTTATTTTGCATCGTATTTTTCTCTTTCTTAAATGTTTTTTTAGATCTTAAATCCTTCATTTTCCTCGCTTTCTTCCTTCCTTCTTTCTTAGATGAATTTTGGGATTCATTGAAGATGGCGTCTTCATCTTCTTCTTCTTGTTCTTCAGCTTCCATCTGTATTGTCTGTTCATAGTTAACCAACGCCATTTCTAAAAAAAGAAAAGCTTTTTCCATACCATCTTTACAGGCTGCTTTTGTTTGCTCATATTCATCCCTCAGTTCCTCAAAAGAAAAAGCCATTATAGATCTTTTCTTTTCTTTTTCCCTCTTTCTTCTCACACCAACCAAAATATTCCAAAAGAAAAATAAGACAATCCCAAAGTCCACAATCCTCAATCAATCCAAGCCAAGCCAAAATTCCCCCTTTCTCTTCCAGGGGTAGTATCAGACAAAGGAAAAAAGAAAATTCAAATCTGTATTTTGAAGCCTTATTAAGATTTTATTTCTGTTTTCAAATCCTTAAGGCATCTCCTCCAACAAAATCCAACCAGATAAATATATTTTTTGTCCTCTCCCTTCCGACTTATCCCAAAAAGCTAGTTTTACCTGAAAAAAAAACAGGTTTCTCAATATCCATTTATTAATTCCGTCGGGGTGGAGAGTAAACTTTCCTTTCAGCACCTCAGAATTGCCGCTTATTTTCTCTTGTGGAAAGAATCATCCAAAAAGCCATCATTTTCAGGAATTAAATTAAATATATCTTAGAGTCCTGGGTCGACCAAGAAGACTTTCACTTTTAAAAACTTTCTCCTCTTCCTCCAGCGCATACTTGCCCAGCTGCTGGCTTCTTTGTGGCGGCCATTACGGACCGCCGCTACGCCGTCTTGGTAAAAGGAGGTTCTGCCGGCTAGGGAGGGGGTCTGCAGCACCCCCAAACCCTTTCCCGGATCCCCCCTACCTTCAGCTGCCCCTGCAGGGCAGCCTTGCTCCGCACCCTTTCGGATCGGAGCCCCAAAAACGGCTAGCGCGGCAGGGATCGCGCAGCTTCGCGAATCCCTACCGCTCGCAAAGCCGACAAACCGGAAATCCGATGTTTTGCCATTCTTATTGCCATGAGTTAGGCCTTATCAGGGACTCCAGTACATGCTCAGTTAGATTCATTCCTTGCTGACCTCCAGCAGCTCTCAGCATGGAATGGAACAAAGCACTGCAGCCAACTCACCGCTGCCAACTCACCTTGGGACAATGCACCCAAGGAGAATTCAACAAATGCAAAAGTTAAATTAATTTCAATGGAACCGTGGCCATAAAATAAAGAAAGTCAATCTAGAAATACAAAAGTTACAATAATTTCAACAAAAATGTGGACACCAATAATTAAAATAACTGAATGAAATTATTAATACAGCATTGAATTGTCCTGCAATAAGTTGTCCCATGGCAAGTTGGCTATGGCGAATTGTCCTGTGGCAAGTTGGCCATAGCGGAGTTGTCCTAGACCCCTCGCAGCATCTCTTAAGATACAGTAAGCCTTTTTCACATTTTTAGGATGAATGGCAGGTCTTTATATATATATTTAGGAAAGAAGTTGACTAGTGGTCATACTGACTGATGTGACATCATTATCCTATTCATGACATAGGAGATTTTGCTAATATTTGAATTAGCATATTGGTAAATTTCATTTAAAAGAGTTTACAATGAAGCCATTTAAGTATGGGATAGAGTAAGGGAATGATATATTCATTTACTCCCTTTGGTAGACATCCGCCTTATCTGTTGGTTGTTTTGTTCCAGGTACGAGTATTCACCTTTTCTGTTGGACAGCATAACTATGATGTCACTCCCCTGCAGTGGATGGCTTGTGCTAATAAAGGTAGGTTGCCTTATCCTGCCTCTTCTTCAAAACATTCGGTTTTGCTCAGGAGCAAAATTGCCTTCTCTTACTGTAGTGTATAAAGTGGGGGAATGGGACATACCCTCTGCTGGTCAAAAGTTAGCTGGCTATTTTCCAGAGATTGGAGCCCTTTTTTACTTGGGTCACAGCTATCCTTCTGTATTTTCATGAAGGGCTGTTGATGATGGGAGCTGAATTCCTAATAAATCTGGACAACATCTGGAGGGAACAGAAGAAGGGGGTGTTCCATATTGAAAGATTAAATGATTAACGCACTATTGCTTATCTATTTTCCGGATAATCTTACCTAGGAGAATGGTAATATTATTTAGTTGAAAGGGATTTCAACTAATTGCAATATATAAGGAAATTAATTAAATTACCCATGAGAGGTAATTTCAACCCCTTCTTCATACCCTCCATCCAACCCACAACTTCCACAAGTAAACTCTTCCACAGTTGTACAAATTAGTTTTTTTCTAATACTTCTAATACTTACAGTATATGAAGTCTAGGTAGCTGCAACTTAAACCCATTATTTCTGGTCCTACTTTCTATGTCCATGGAAAATAGTTATTCACTAGCTATATACCAGTCATTGACAAGGGCAGATATTTTTCTTTGGGGGAAAGGGGAGCATAGAAAAAGAGCTATAAGAAAAGCACTTCCAGACAAAGGACGTTCCACACCAAGGTTCAGCAGTTTCATCTTTTGCTCCTTAACCTGAATTATGGGGAGGAGGTTCGGCTTTGGCTTGTTTCTTTTGAGAAAAGAAGGAATTCTAGGAGAATCCAGGAGAACCATATGTGGAAGATGCCATTACCAGAATTAATAGAACTCACACTTTGTGTAAAAAAAATGGCAGGGATGTGAATTACACAAATGAAAGTCTGGTAATATACAAAAACCCGTATGCTGTTAGCGGGTCCGTGGATATTATCCCTTAGCTCATTTCCTCTCTTGCGCCTGATAACTAATGTGACCACAGACCCCTTTATAAGGTCTCTGAAGCTGCTCCCCACCCCACCTACTCCTCTGAGGGCTTGTTACATTCAGACAGTCTTTTAAACTCCTCACCTTCCTCTGTATCGGAAACCTTCTTGCTGTCTCTCATTTATCTGAAATTGCCTTGTGTGCCCTTTTGTTCCCCAGGGCTGGCTTTCTGTTCACACAGTCTGTATCTTTCAGCAGGTGGTGGAAGTCTGTGAACCTTTGGGCTGGCAGTAATCCATCTTCCCATTGTTCTGCCCTGTGGAAAAACCTCTAGACAGAATAGCCAAGTGCCCACTTCTCTCTTTTTATCCACTCTACTCCCTTGTCCTTTTCCATCTCAGATCAGCGGTGCAGGTAGCAACTAATTCTCATTGTAATTCTAATGTTACTCTCCCTTTTAGGCCTTAAGTATTTCTTCCTCCTTCCAGCCATCATCATGCATCATTGTATGTCTGCAAGTGTTTTGATTGCCACTACATCCAAGTAGAGAGAAGCTTGGTGAAAAGAAACTTCTAAGAGTTTTGCTCAATTTATATTAGCTGCTGCCATTTTCTGGCCAATCCACTTTTTTTTTTTTCATATGGTCAAGTAATGCAGGATCAGAATCAATTGCCAAGGTTTGCTTTCAACTTTTTAAAAATCAAGTTTGAAGAAGCACAGCTATCAACTGCTTCACTGAATTAATTAATTTGTATAGAACAAGGCTTACCAGAATTAACCTAGAAACTGATGTAAATACAATTCCAAGTTATTTGAAGGTGAGGATGAAAATTGATTCAATGGTCCTTTTGTTGCTGTGCTCCAAGATGCCACCGAAGTCACAATAAACTAATAAGGTTACCCAACTGAAATAAGATCTTTGAAATATCTTTTCACTGATTATTAATACTAAACCAGGCTTCATCAACCCAGGGATTTTCAGATGAGTTGGCACAGTGACTCTCGGAATCTCCAGCCATTGTCCTATACTAAACACAGTAATTTGTCCCCAACAGACATTAGTTGAGTGGACCTTTGGATTAGGTTATAAGGTATCTTAAAAGATACAAATAGAAACCTACTGCATTTTATAAATCATTTCCAAAATTAAATTCACTGTGATTTAAATTAAACTCAAGTACATCAGATGTGTGCAACTGACGTGAAGATTTTTACTGAACAGGAACCTACAAATCATACATGTTGAGCAGAGAATTTGAGAATATGGTTCCTTCATCTTTATTCTGCCACCACTTTTTATTGTATTTTGTTTATTAAGTTTGTTTGTTGCTCATCTTTCAATGCCCCCCACCCCCAGATATTTCCTTACTGTTTATTCATGTAAATTCCTGATGCTCATTCCCTGTCTCTCAATAAGAATATTAATAAGAACCTCATGTACTGTAACATCTAGTTCCCCCAAAAAGCTTAATTTTAGAAAAGAGAGAGATTTTGACAATTATTTAAACCCCGTGGATGTTTTGTTTTGTTTGTTGACTTCCTTATTTTAATGATTTGTAGATATATGAACCCCTTCAGCTTCCTTTTTCCATATTCTCTTTAAAAACCCACCTGTTTCTGACTGAAGGTTCTGTGTGCTGCTTTGTTCTTGCAGCCTTTGTTCTGAAGGGCATGTGAAGCAGGAGGAAACCCTTTGTTTCTTGAGAGTTTTGTAATCTCCTGCTGCTGATCCCCCAGGTCTGGGTTTTTGACATCAAAGATATTTGGACAGCAACAGTGACATCATACTTAGGAAAAGCTCCATTGTCAACAGCAGGAACTTCTGAAGGAGAGCGAGACAGATATAGGTAGTTAGAAAAGAGGAGTATCCTATTGTTACTGATAGCAAGCTACCCCCATAACTTTCTCAGGAATAAAAAGAGCCAACTTGTTTCAAAATGCCAGGAAGGGAAAGCTCATGGCTCTATTGTTACACAGCAGAAGCTGCATGAAGTGCAAGATGATTGAGTGGGCAAGAAACAGCAGAGGAGAGAAATCTTGAGAAAGAAAAGTTTTCTATAAAATAGATGTTCCATTATTATATTAGTTAGATGGCACATTTGGAAGCATCAGGATGGAGAAAGCTGTTATAATACTTCTGGCTTTTAATCACAGGAGAAAGAAATCTGTAAACAAATAGGAAACATGCAGATTAAACAAGGAGAGACTGTTACAACTTATATAAATCCTTGTGACTAGAGCTGGTTTGTAAAAAAAAGAACCAAGAACTCAGGAGAAACCACTCTTACTTTACAATCCATCCCACTAAGCACCACAATTTTTTCTCAGGAATTGCATGCAGTCCCATGGCCAGATTCAAGTCATTCCAGAACTATTTAGAAACTGCAATCAAGTAGGATAGAAAATAGAGATTGATGTGGGATGAAAACTTTTGAGGTACCAGAGTGGGTGTCAAACTCTGGCTCCTGACCTTTACAAATACTACATCTCCAGCTGAGGTAGCTCCAAATCTTTCACATGGGATTGTTTTGATTTGTATACCATTCCCACCCTGCTTCCTGATTTAGGAAGAATCATGCTGTGGATATTTTCAGAACAGTTTGGGATACTTTTGCATTGCTTGGGGTTTAGGAGTGGGAATGGAAACAATTTGCCACTCAGAGACTGCAGTCATTGCCACCATTAATTTTAAAAAGGAAAAAAAAATACCACCACAAATGTGTGACTGGGTGCTAAATGTGTGGTTTCGCCCCATCCTATAGTTTAATCCCTCATTCTATCTAACAGTTGAGGCTGACATGGTTAGTACTCTCCCGATCAACCTTTTCCACATGATTTCATTCTTCTTTTTCTCCATGTTACTTTGATTACAAGATTATTCTGTGCTGAATGCATGATTTACACCCCATTAATATTCAGTCATATAACAATCTGGAGAATTTTTGGAGGCAATTCAGTTTCAATGTAATATGACATTATCATCTAACCACTTCTAAGTCTGAACAATCATCACTCCCAGTCTTAAAGTAATTTCCCTATAGCCCCAGCTGTACAGTAAAAGTTCAAACCATACAGTTTAAGCAACTTTCAGTCCACAGTAGATCTCAAGGCTGTAGCAACAAAGTTTATTTGGGTTCTTGGAGAGTTCTGCTTTTTTCTCTAAAATTGATA